GTTAAAAAAAAACCCTCCACTGGCTGATGTTTATGAATTCCCCAGTGAGAAGACTAGTTGCCTAATAAATATCCAAACACTGAAGGATACAGTGATTTAAAGAGCCCACCAAGGGCTTACTATAGTAAATGAAAAAAGACCTTCACCAAAGCATATCATCATACAACTTCAGAAAGATTTCTTTTTTTTTTTTTTTTTTTTTTTTGAGACGGAGTCTCGCTCTGTCGCCCAGGCTGGAGTGCAGTGGCCGGATCTCAGCTCACTGCAAGCTCCGCCTCCCGGGTTTACGCCATTCTCCTGCCTCAGCCTCCCCAGTAGCTGGGACTACAGGCGCCGCCACCTCACCCGGCTAGTTTTTTATGTATTTTTAGTAGAGACGGGGTTTCACCATATTAGCCAGGATGGTCTCGATCTCCTGACCTCGTGATCCGCCCGTCTCGGCCTCCCAAAGTGCTGGGATTACAGGCTTGAGCCACCGCGCCCGGCCTCAGAAAGATTTCAAAATCATCAGGAGTGAAAAAAAATAGACAAAGGCACAGGAATCAGAATGACTTCACATTTCTCATCAGCAACAGCAACTGCGGAGGGTGAACCTGAGGGAGGCTTTTATTTATTTATTTATTTTGAGACACAGTCTTGCTCTGTTGCCCAGGCTGGGGTGCAGTGGTGGGATCACAGATCACTATAGCCCCAACATCCTGGTCTCATTCGATCCTCCCACCTCAGCCACCTTAGCCTCCCAAGTAGCTGAAAGTACAAGTGTGTGCCATTGTACCAGGTTAATTTGGGGGTGGAGGGATGGAGGTCTCACTGTGTTGCCCAGGCTGGTCACAAACTCCTGGGCTCAAGTGATCCTCCTGCCTCAGCCTCCCAACATACTGGAATTATAGACATGAGCCACCACATCTGGCTAGATAGCTTTTCTTTTCTTTTTTTTTTTTTTTTTTTTGAGACAGAGTCTCACTCTGTCACCAGGCTAGAGTGCCAGAGAGTGCAGTGGCACAATCTGGCTCACTGCAACTTCCACTTCCCGGGTTCAAGGGATTCTCCTGCCTCAGCCTCCCAAGTAGCTGGGACTACAGTTGTGTGACACCACGCCTGGCTAATTTTTGTATTTTTAGTAGAGATGGGGTTTCACCATGTTGGCCAGGATGGTCTCAATCTCTTGACCTCATGATCTGCCTGCCTCAGCCTCCCCAAGTGCTGGGATTACAGGCGTGAGCCACCGCACCCAGACCAGATAGCTTATTTCTAATACGGAGTTATATACCCAGCCAATCCAACATGTGGTCAAAAACGGTATTTTTAGACCTTCCAGGACAAAACAAGGGAGTACACAAAGAAGGAAGAAGATGTGAGAGCCAGGAAATGGGCATCCATTGAAAAACTTGGCAAAAGGAAATCCCGACATTTACATACCAGCCTTAGTGAGCAACCAGTCTAAACTATAGTAGAAAGAGATCTGTGGGACAGAGGTTTCCAGGAAAAGATGGAATTAATCAGTTACGAATTGAACATTTGGAAGAATTATCACTACATATTTGGAACATTTGGAAGAAAATAGCCCTTGGTACTTCAAACCAAACAATAGAAAAAACAAAATGACAATTATTAACTCCAGATAAAACCAAACTGTAAGAAAAAAATGTAATAGTAGTTTGCTACTTGAGTGAAGAGTTTATTTACTTGATCAATCATGTTAATATGCCGGGCGCGGCAGCTCACACCTGTAATCCCAGCACTTTGGGAGACCGAGGGAGGCAGATCACTTGAGCTCAGGATTTTGAGACCAGCTGGCCAGCACAGCAAAATCCCATCTCTACTAAAAATACAAAAATTAGCCAGGCGTGGTGACACATGCCTGTAATCCCAGCTACTCAGGAGTCTGAGGCAGGAGCATCGCAGGAACCTGGGAGGCAGAGCCTGCAGTGAGCCGAGATCATACCACTGCACTCCAGCCTAGGTGACAGAGTGAGACTGCATCTCATAAAATAGTAATAATAATAATGTAAACACTATTGATTTAACTGTAAAGTATGGCAAATTATGTTAGAGGATAGAAAGAGAAAAAATGGGAGTTAGAGTGGAGCAATCAAACTGATTCCTCTGCTGGGCAAGGTGGCATGCACCTGTAGCCCCAGCTACTCAGGAGGCTGAGGCAGGAGGACTGCTTGAGGCCAGAAGTTTGAGGCTGCGTGCAGTATGCTATGATCATACCTGTGAATAGCCATCGCACTCCAGGCCGGGCAACATAGTGAGACCCCATCTCAGAAAAAAAAAAAAAAAAAATGAAGACCTAATTCCTCAACTGCCAGAACGATAAATACATAAATATTACCTAAGGTTGATACATCGAATGATAGCAGTGTATTAGTTTGCTAGAGCTGCCATAACAAAGTGTTATAGACTAGATAACTTAAATGACAGAAATTCATCATCTCACAGTTCTGGAGGCCGGAAAGCTGAGATCAAGTTGTCACAGGGTTGATTTTCTCTGAGGCCTCTTTCCTTGGCTTGCAGATGGCCATCTTTTCCCTGTGTCTTCACCTGGTTTTCTCTCTGTGTATCTGTATCCTAATCACCGCTTATAAGGACACCAGTCATATTGGATAAGGGCCCACCCTAATGACATAGTTTAAGCCTAATTTCCTCTTTAAAGACCATAGCTGCAGTTACAACCACATCCTGAGGTACTGGTGGTTAGGACTTCAACATAGGAATTTGGGGAAAACACAGTTCAGCCCATAACAAGTAGTATAAGCTCGTTATTTGGAAATACAAGGGTAAACAGCAGAAGAAATAGCCAAAAGAGTTTAAAGTGGCCTCTGTGAGGAAAGACTGGAGGGCAGCAAAGGGTGAGGCAGGTGCTATTACTATTTGATTTTTTCAAAATAGCAAGTGGCGGAGCTGAGCCTTGAACCCAGTCTGACTCCACATCTCATGTTCTTCCACTCTCCCCCAAGCATAGGAGCTCCTCTAGGGCCCTGCAGTGCCATATTCATCTCTGCATCTCCCATGGTACCTTACACAGAGCCGTATGATGGGCCTTCAGCACATACATAAGATTTACAGCTGCATCACAGTGACTTTTAAAGCTGCCATTTGTTGATGCTTCTTTTCCTGTCTTCAAAGAAGATAGGGGAGACTGAGGTCCAAGGAAACATGGAGGAGCCGTAATGTGGAGTGCCCTGCTTAGAGTTCCCTGCCTTTGGTGTCCTGGAATCGCTGGGTGCATCTCTAATAGCACATTGAGTTTTGATACTAGAAAGGGTCCATTTAAGGCAGGGTCGGGGCACAGGATGCTTTCCTGCCTGATAAAGCTAGTGGTGGTGTCTCAACCCCACCTCCCTGGGGTCTAGAACAGATATTCACCCCATTTTCTTGGTGTCAGTTTGGCTGTTGAAGGCAGCCAGAGCTCCCTAAGTTATTCACAGACTTAGGACTGCAATGGCATTCACGGTGATTGATGCATGATCCCATGAGTGGCTTTGTTCATTTTTGTGTTTAGGTTGGTCTGCAGTCATTCACCTGGTTCTTAAGTCCAGCTAGATTTCGTGGTTGTCTCCATCCCAGAGGCTGCGTGGACGCCCTTCTGGAAGCACACATCCCATGTCCTCTGGGGAGCAGTAGAGGTTGGTGTGTATGTATGTCTGTCTCCGCATGCCTCAGATTATTGCTTCCTAATAAAATTCTGATAGCTGGGCCCCATCAATATCTCAAATACATGTGAGCAAACGTTAATTTAGAATCAATTTTAGGATGTTTCAGACTGTAAAGTCCTTTTAACTAGATCTCTGGCGAAGATGTAGAAGCACTTTATGGGACTGTAAATTTCATGTTGAACAGTCTTCGTGAAATACACATCTCTCCTACACACAAGCTGTTCTCTCCATATCAATCATGGCCCCTGCAAGTAATGTTTCACAAATATTCTGTAAATCACAGAAAACCCCATGATAATGTGAAATATGACTTTCACTTGTCTGTTAGACAAAAGAATCGCACATGCCTCTCTCCCATCAGCACTAACATTTGTTATGGATAATAACACTTTCAATCACAACTATTTTTGGAAAACGGGGTTATCTTAAACCTTCCCTCCCCCACTGAAAACACTCTCCCAAGGACACAGACTCCTACAAACCACAGCCCATTAATCCAACTATGGAATGGGAACTTTTTCTTACCACTAACTTTTTTTTAAGTTGTTTTTAAGAGTTAGTGTAAAAGCCCGAGGTACAAGGTTAAGGAGCACTTTAACTTAGGTGATTGGCGTAAGAGGGAGGCCATGTCCCTCAAGACCTCAAGCCTCTGACCCTGTATGAAGTACGCCACAAGAGAGGCCCAGATTTTGTTTTTTGGGGGGTTTTTTTTGTTTTGTTTTTTGTTTCTTGGGTTTTTTTAAACACAGTCTCACTCTGTCGCCCAGGCTGGAGTGCAGTGGTGCGATCTCGGCTCACTGCAACCTGCCCCCCGGGTTCAAGAGATTTCGCCTGCTTCAGCCTCCCAAGTAGCTGGGATTACAGGTGCCCGCCACCACGCCCGGCTAATTTTTTGTATTTTTAGTAGAGACGAGCTTTCGCCATGTTGGCCAGGCTGATCTCAAACTCCTGACCTCAGGTGATCCGCCCTCCTGGGCCTTCCAAAGTGCTGGAATTACAGGCATGAATCACCACGCCCAGCCTTAGCAAGCACTTTTATCTCAGCTGGATGCTGTGGTCTTTTAGTTGCTGGCATCAGTAGAGAAGCCAAAGAGCTAAAATTTTAGTTCTTAAAGAGCAGACATTTAGCACATTGATATTCTTAATCCCATTAAGAATCTCCAGCTAGAGCCTCCCTGTTCAAGCAGCAGATGACCAGTCCTAGAGTATATTTTGCATATAACTACACCCATGTGCATGATAGAGCCACACCCTGCCTTCAGTTGATTGCTAGAAAAATAATGGAGTTGCATGATTCTAAACATTCTGGTAACCTCTCTGTTTTCCCTCCCTCTGTAGCCAACTTCAGGACTGATTGATCATGACTTCTATAAAGGAACAGGCAGCAATTAGCAGGCTCTTAAGTTTTTTACAGGAGTGGGACAATGCTGGGAAAGTCGCAAGGAGTCACATCCTTGACAAATTTATTGAAACCAACCAAGGCAAGACTGCCCCTGAACTGGAGCAGGAGTTTTCCCAGGGAGCCAGTTTGTTCCTGGTACGCTTGACCACCTCGCTTAGAATCACGTATCCTTTGCCGAACAGAAAAAAAAAAAAAATTAGGCACCGGGCACAGTGGCTCACGCCTGTAATCCCAGCACTTTGGGAGACTGAGGTGGGCAGATCACAAGGTCGGGAGTTCAAGACCAGCCTAACCAACATGATGAAACCCTGTCTCTGCTAAAAATACAAAAATTAGCTGGGCATGGTGGCAGGTGCCTGTAATCCCAGCTACTCAAGAGGCTGAGGCAGGAGAATCACTTGAACCCGGGAGGCAGAGGTCGCAGTGAGCCAAGATCACGCCACTGCACTTCAGCCTGGGTGACAGAGTGAG